CTTCTTCGCAAAGAGGCAGAGATCCCAATTGAAGAGCTGGTCAAAGATGTTGATGATGGCGACGAAACCACCAAAGAGTCCAAAAACGGCGAAAGCTCGAAAGATGAGCCAGCCGTTTCCAGCAGCTCGACAACAGGTGACGGAGAGGGCGATAAGCCAGTTGACACAAGCGACGTGAAAACGGAAGAAGTGAAAGAATCTTCAAAGAATGGCGAGGTTGATTCAGCTAATGCTGATGAGAAAAGTGGCGATGCCAAAGAATCTTCATCAAAGAACGGCAAAGTTGATTCCACAGCCGGTCCTTCAGGCTCAGGTGAGGCTGGCGGCAGCAGTTCCGCTTCAAACGGCGAAGGCTCGTCCAAGAGTGTTGCCGAAGTGGTGGACGCCGATCTCGCTAAGCCATCATCGTCTGGGATCTCTTCCAAGTCTGCCCTGAGCAAAGGTGTCAAATCCGATATAATGCGACAGCTAAACCAACACATCTACGAAGCCTTCTTCAAAAACTGCGGCTCAGATGACGACGATGAGGAAGATGACGAGGATGATGATGAAGAAGGCGAAAGCGGAAGCGATTCGGAGGACGATGATGATGACGATGACGAGGAGGAGGACGACGAGGAGGACAGCGAAGACGATGACGACTTTCAGGGCATTGGCGGCCTTGATTCGCACATGAGTAATGCCTACACTACTCCAGGCGGCGGAAGCGGTTGTACGGCCATTGCCGCTGTCGTTCTCGGCAATACTCTCTACGTCGCCAATGTCGGCGACTCTCGATGTGTCCTCTCTCGGGACGGCAAAGCTGTTGAGATGTCCGAGGATCACAAGCCCGAGGACGAGGGCGAGAAGAAGCGCATTGTCAAAGCTGGCGGGGAAGTCACTGCTGACGGTCGTGGTGAGTGGTTTTATTTCCGTCTCAAAGGTTTACTCTTGAAAGCTTACACTTTTTTTGTTGTGAATTTAGTCAACGGTGGTCTCAACTTGTCCCGTGCCATTGGCGATCATCTGTACAAGAAGAACGAGTCGTTGAGTGACGTTGAGCAGATGGTCACCGCGCTGCCCGACATTCGCACACACGAGATTGACTTCTCTAAAGACAAGTTCATGTTTCTCGCCTGTGACGGTATTTGGTAAGTCTGTTGGCGTCATCATTCTGGTAACCCCTCCTAACACTCTTTCTCTTTATTTTCAGGAACTCGATGAACAATCAGGAAGTGGTCGACTTTATCAGTGAGCGACTAAAAAGTGAGATGCCACTGAAGACAATTTGTGAGGAGGTAAGTGCTGGTTGAGTTGTAGAGTTTTTTTGTCGGAAACTTATGCTTCACTCTGTTTCTTGACAGCTTTTCAACCATTGCCTGGCCCCGAATACCGAAGGCGACGGCTCTGGATGTGATAACATGACCTGCATTCTGGTCAAATTCAAGAAGACCGACTTGGCCGAGTCGATGAAGCGAGCTCTGGAGGACTGCGAAGAGGTGGAACAGGCGAACAATCATTCCGAGTCGAAGAAGATCAAGACGGAGGAAGAGTCTGCTCCTGCCGCTTCTTCTTCCTCATCTGCCGCTGCTGAGTGCGTGGCCGGTCCATCTTCCTCTTCAAGTTCATAAGCTGTGGTATGTGCAGCACCATCAACGTAGTGGAACAGCGCAGTATACACCACCAACCATCAGCACCCACCCGAATCACTCCTTAACCTTTCCTTTTCTATTTACTTTCCTTTCTCATTTTAATAATCGCAAGCAGATTCTCACACTCCTTTTCTCTTTCAATCCTTCAGCTGATCATGCTACAAGCACCGAAACACACAAACACAAGCGCATTTGCTTTACTTTCATTTTGTACACACATTTTCCAAACACATGCAACGTTTCTGATTTTCCCTCCCCCTTCCCTCCCATTCCCCCTCCTTCGAACATGCTCCACTCTTATCGCTCGCATGTGGTTTCATTTATCTTTATTNCATTTTAATAATCGCAAGCAGATTCTCACACTCCTTTTCTCTTTCAATCCTTCAGCTGATCATGCTACAAGCACCGAAACACACAAACACAAGCGCATTTGCTTTACTTTCATTTTGTACACACATTTTCCAAACACATGCAACGTTTCTGATTTTCCCTCCCCTTTCCCTCCCATTCCCCCTCCTTCGAACATGCTCCACTCTTATCGCTCGCATGTGGTTTCATTTATCTTTATTACTTTTCTATGTACACTACTGAACACACACACACACTTCATTTTGAGAGATCTGGGCCTAGTGAGGGGGCGACTACTACCAATCGTGCAGACGAATCTACCTTTCTCTGACACCAAAAAAGCTTTTTCATTGATTACAAACAAAAACTGCTGATTATTATTGCCTGTTTTGTTTCGTGTGCTCTACTTGATATGCAAATCGAGCAGCTGCTGGAGCATCTCAATGTGGTCGTGTTGCATGATCTTGCGCACCTCACCGAGGTTCGAGAGAATGTTTCGATCTGCTTGCGTGTTTGGAGAGAAGAAAAAAGAAGAAAGCATGGGTTTGTGCTCTTACAGAAAGCATGCGCCAGAATAAAGACAGGGGGAGATCTTACCTGGTTGAGGTGCTGCAGTTGGCAGTTGCAATCGGCTAAAGTCAGTGCTCATATGCTGAAGCAGTGGCTGGTTTTGATGTTGTTGTTGTTGAGTAGTTCCTTCTTCGGACGTTCTCGGTGCAGTGAGGACGTCAGCTGCTGCTGTGGTCCTGTTCGACTTGCCGCCCACAAAGTCGCCCTTCTGACGCTCCTCGAGGTACTGCAGGTACATGGTGAGCCGCTGCTCGTTGATCCGCTTCTCAAGCTCATCGTCTGCCGCCCGTTTTCGGTCAATCTCCGCCTGCTTCGCCTGCTTCTTCTCCTCAATCTGCTGTAGCAGCTCACGGCGGTAGGCGTCGGCCTTGACTCGGTTCACCGGCGGCCCTTGGAAGGTCACTGTCGGTCGTCGGTGGTGATGGTTTTGATGAACTGTTGAGCTGTTGTTGGGGGTGGAGGGGAATTGTTGTTGCTGACTGTGATGACCGTCGAAGAGGTCATTGAGGAGATCATGACGACGATTCGTCACCACGACGTCCCTTGCTGCTGCTGGTGGTGGTGATGGTCGATTGTGGGTAGTAGGTGATAATAACTCATCCCCGCTGGCCGTGACTTCAGGTTGTGGTGGCTGTGGATAACCACGTGATAAGAAGCTGGTGAAAACTGGCGCCAAAGATTGGTTATCTCCAGCAGCCGTCGCCGCCGTCGCCGCCTCAGTGCGTTGAGATGGCCTTCTGGAGCGAGCCGCAGCCGTCGCTGCCGCAAGTGTGTCTTCAACTTTAGGACTCGGCTCTGCATTCGTCTTCTGCGTGGACACAGCCATCTCATCCTCTTCCTCGTTGGATTTCTAAAAACAGAAAAGAAGTGTTCATGATGACGGTGTGTGTGCGTGTGCGTGTGCTCATCAACATCAACAGCAGCATCCTCCTCTTACCTCAATATCGATAGCCTCGAAGATGCCCTTCAGCTCGCCGAAGAGACTGCTCAGCTTCTCCATCGTCTCCTGGTGCTGGAAGATTTCCGCCCGTTCGCTGAGAAGGTAGTCCGCCAGCGTCGTCTTCATTGCTTCCATCTCTCTCTTTTAGAGCATTACCGGAGGACACAGCAAAACAGGATGAAAGTGGGGGGCGACTCTACCTGTGATTACTGGGACTGAATCTTTCTCTTCTCTCAGTGTTACATAAGAGCTACTCTAGCTCTTGCTTGGTTGAGCTGCAGCAGCACCCACTGCTGGACACGTGTTGTCATGACGAGAGGAAGCTCTGGCAGCAGCACAGAAGCACGAGTCAAGTCAAACAGAGAGGACAGTGAAGCTGACGCTCACTGAGGTGGGCTAAGCAAGGGCAAAGCAAAGCAAAGCGTAACGACAACAAAACAGAACGGTGACTTGCTCTCACCTGCAGGCTGCAGCTGATCCCGAATCACCGCTAGAGTTTAGTACCATCATTAAAAGTTTAGGCCATAATGAGAACAATATTGACAAGTTTTCCTGTTTAGCAGTCAGTTGATCCTATCCACTATGCACTCGCTGATCAACAGCACGAACAGCACGGTACAAGTTCAGCTCTCGGACATTGGCAACATTTGTACTTGTCAACAGCAGCAACCTCAACTTGCCACCACCGACAGCAAGACTCGTTGACCCATCGGCCGGCCATCACCGAACACCGGCAGATCGATAAGCAGCCCAGCGTGAAGCGTTTCTGTCAACTGTCGCCTGCATCAGCTCTGCTGTGACAACAAACGAACGTAGAGCAAGAGAAATGGAAAAAGTACATTCAAATCAGACGATCTTCTTCACCATCAACANACCGACAGCAAGACTCGTTGACCCATCGGCCGGCCATCAGCAGCCTGAACACCGGCAGATCGATAAGCAGCCCAGTGTGAAGCGTTTCTGTCAACTGTCGCCTGCATCAGCTCTGCTGTGACAACAAACGAACGTAGAGCAAAAGAAATGGAAAAAGTACATTCAAATCAGACGATCTTCTTCACCATCAACAGCTGCAGAAGGAGGCAGCAGCCAAGAGGCGGGCCAAGAACTGGCGAGGCAGGCAGCGGCGGCGGTGGTGATGGTGGTGATGGTGGTCGTGCCGGTGGTGGTGTAAGAAGAAGCGATCGCCCGAAGTACATTCCTCCTCCTCCTTCTCCTTTCACTTCATTCCCTTTGGCTTCCAAAGTGGTTTGCCACACTGTCACACATGCCCATTAAGGTTCAAGTCTGTGACTGTCTCTCTCTCTCTCTCTCTCTCTCNGATCTTCTTCACCATCAACAGCTGCAGAAGGAGGCAGCAGCCAAGAGGCGGGCCAAGAACTGGCGAGGCAGGCAGCGGCGGTGGTGATGGTGATGGTGGTCGTGCCGGTGGTGGTGTAAGAAGAAGAAGCGATCGCCCGAAGTACATTCCTCCTCCTCCTCCTTTCACTTCATTCCCTTTGGCTTCCAAAGTGGTTTGCCACACTGTCACACATGCCCACTAAGGTTCAAGTCTGTGACTGTCTCTCTCTCTCTCTCTCTCCCCGTCTGACTGTGTTTTCCTCTGTGCTGCAGCGTCTTCTGCTTCTTCTTCACTAGTGGCCGCATCACTAATCATCTTCTTCAGACGCTGAAGAAGTAGCTGGAGCTAGCTAGAGCTGAGCGGCAATCAGGTTGAATCGGCCCCCCTTCAATCACCACCAGCAGCAGCAGCAGTAGTCCAGCACTAATCAACACACACACAGTAAACAGACACTGGTAGTCCAATCCAATGTACATCCTCATCGTCATCGTTCTGCGGTAAAAGTCAGCCTGCTACAGTCAACTGCTACAGCAGCCACTAGCCTGCCAGCCAGCCAGCGAACAACAGCCGATTTTATTTATATTTACAGTCGTGCGGCAGACAACGACGGCGACGGTTGTTTTCATCATCTTCCTCTTCGGTTCCTCTACTACCACACTTCTACACACACACCGAGTCTCTCTTTTAGGTAGAGAGACACGAGCTTTTCACTTTCTCTCGCCGTGTGATTCCACTGCCAAGACTTTGATCACAAAGACCTCTCTCTCTCTCTCATCTATTTCATTCATTCTTCTGCTGCTGAAGAGTGCTAACATCGACTGAAAACGGACACCACCAAAAGTTGACCGCCACAAACATCACCACCACTGACCTACAATTCTGGTATGTGCTTCTGCTGAAACCGGTAATTATATAGAGACATCACCATCATCATTACTCAAACTGCTCAGCTGACAGACGACAACAGCATTTTCCCATTTACCGCCGCTTTGCNTCATCACCACCACTGACCTACAATTCTGGTATGTGCTTCTGCTGAGACCGGTAATATATAGAGACATCACCATCATCATTACTCAAATTGCTCAGCTGACAGACGACAACAGCATTTTCCCATTTACCGCCGCTTTGCAACCGCAACTCTCCCAGCAACCACAATCATCACATGGGTTGTCTGTCCTGTACCTGACACACACTGAAACAGTGAGAGTTTGTTAGCACCGTTTTTTCCCGTTGAACTGCTAAAGTTGGCGGTAGTGTACATTTGTAGCTATCCCTCTTTTCCTCTCCCTCTTATGCAAGTGAGAGAAAAGCAGCACAGTCCTTCTTCTCCTTCTTTCTCGATAACCACCAATAGCGCGTGTACTCGCCGCCATTTGTGTACTTTTTGTGTGTTCTGGTGGTCTTCTCTCTTTGCGCTGTACCTTTACTGTACATTACCACCATTAGTTTGTGTCGTCAGCAAAGGTACACACTGAGCTGATGACCATATGTTATAAAAAGGAAAACATGTACTATTTACGGGGCTATGTTTGTTAGAAAGAGGATTGGAGGAAAGAGAGGTAGTGGCGCGAACTTGGCCTGAGGCAGTTTCATTAGTTTGGTGGACTTTATTTTGAGTAGTCGCATCTATTGCAGCCGCATCAATCAATCAGTCAAGCACAACCAGACGACTGGTGAACGCTTGACATTAACACTGAACATTATAACAATCGTCATCACCATCATCATCAGTTGATGAAATGATGATGATGTGCTGAATGAAAACGAGAGATAGGATTGCTTGCACTCAGACACCTTTATCAACCGTATCTCCTTTTCTTGTCTAGGTCTCACTCAATTTTTGTTACTGAAAGATCGGCCGATCAGCAGCTGAAGCTGAAGCTGTTGGCACCGAAAACATCAACATCCACAATCGCTTTCCTCCATTGTTTACCAGCAACGCAACCAAATAAATAAATGCCAGGTACACTTGATTTCACCGACTACAATTGAAGACTGATGTTACCTAACACTTAATGTTTGACTTTTTTTCACAGAATGTCTCTTCGTGTCTTACTTCACCGTAATCTAGGCCAGGGGGCCAAGGTCTCCGTCGCCGCCTCTTCCCTTCTTCAGCGTCACCACCAGCACTTGCGCTTCTTTGCCAGCAATGTCAAGCCCATCAAGAAGGTGCTGGTCGCCAATCGAGGTACTGACCCTCTCAATTTGAAACTTTTCAGAAGTTTAACTAATCAAACCCTTTTTCTCTTTTTAGGCGAGATCGCAATTCGCGTCTTTCGTGCCTGCAACGAGATGGGCATCCGTTCAGTGGCCATTTACAGCGAACAAGACAAGATGCACATGCACCGGCTGAAGGCGGACGAGGCGTACCTGATTGGCCACGGCCTGCCGCCCGTCCAGGCCTACCTCAACATTCCCGACATAATTCGCATCGCCAAGGAGAACGACGTCGACGCCGTCCACCCGGGCTACGGCTTTCTCTCGGAACGGGCCGACTTTGCCCGCGCCTGCACCGACTCGGGCATCACCTTCATCGGTCCCAGTCCCGATGTGATGGCCCGCATGGGCGACAAGGTCGAGGCGAGGAAGGCGGCCATTGAGGCGGGCNAGACCCTATCAAATTGAAACTTTTCACCAATTTCACTAATCTTCTTTCTCTTTTAGGCGAGATCGCCATTCGCGTCTTTCGCGCCTGCAACGAGATGGGCATCCGCTCAGTGGCCATATACAGCGNAACGAGATGGGCATCCGTTCAGTGGCCATTTACAGCGAACAAGACAAGATGCACATGCACCGGCTGAAGGCGGACGAGGCGTACCTGATTGGCCACGGCCTGCCGCCCGTCCAGGCCTACCTCAACATTCCCGACATAATTCGCATCGCCAAGGAGAACGACGTCGACGCCGTCCACCCGGGCTACGGCTTTCTCTCGGAACGGGCCGACTTTGCCCGCGCCTGCACCGACTCGGGCATCACCTTCATCGGTCCCAGTCCCGATGTGATGGCCCGCATGGGCGACAAGGTCGAGGCGAGGAAGGCGGCCATTGAGGCGGGCGTCAAGGTGGTGCCCGGCACTGACTACCCCATCAACTCGGTGGACGAGGCGAGTGACTTTGTCACGAAGCACGGCTTTCCGGTCATCTTCAAGGCCGCCTATGGTGGTGGTGGACGAGGTGAGTTGAATGCCTGGGGTTTTTATTTTAATTCTGAAACAAAACTTTGGTCTTCTTTAGGCATGCGAGTCGTGCGCAACCCCAGCGAGCTGAAGGAGAACTTTGAGCGCGCCTCCTCTGAGGCGCTGTCCGCCTTTGGCAACGGCGCCCTCTTCATTGAGCGCTTCATCGAGCATCCGCGCCACATTGAGGTGCAGATCCTCGGCGACGGCGAGGGCGGTGTGGTGCACCTGTACGAGCGCGACTGCACCGTCCAGCGACGCCACCAGAAGATCATCGAGATTGCCCCCTCGCCGAACCTCGACCCGGTGGTGCGGGAACGGATCCTCGCCGACGCGGTGAAGATCGCCAAGTTTGTGGGCTACCAGAACGCCGGCACGGTGGAGTTTCTGCTGGACGCCGACGGCAGCTACTACTTCATCGAGGTGAACGCCCGGCTGCAGGTGGAGCACACCGTCTCCGAGGAGATCACCGGCATTGACATTGTCCAGAAGCAGATTCGCATCGCCGAGGGCAACTCGCTGCCCGACCTGGGCCTGACGCAGGACGCCATCAAGGTGGACGGCTATGCGATGCAGTGCCGCGTCACCACGGAGGACCCGGCGAAGGGCTTCCAGCCGGACACCGGTCGCATCGAGGTCTTTCGCAGTGGCGAGGGCTTTGGCATTCGCCTGGACGGCGCCTCCGCCTTCTCCGGCGCCATCATCTCCCCCTACTACGACTCGCTCCTGGTGAAGGTCATTGCGAAGGCGGGCAGCATGAAGGCGGCCAGCGCCAAGATGACCCGAGCGCTGCGCGAGTTTCGCGTTCGCGGCGTCAAGACGAACATTCCCTTTCTGCTCAACGTCCTCAACAATGACAAGTTCCTGGACAACGCCTACGACACCAACTTTATCGACACCCACCCGGAGCTGTTTCACTTTGAGCCCAGTCAGAACCGGGCGCAGAAGCTGCTGTACTACCTCGCCAATGTCATGGTCAACGGGCCCTCGACGCCGCTGGCCACCAAGCTGAAGCCCTCTGACATCACGCCGCAGGTGCCCGCGGTCGATATGAGCCGACCGGCGGCCCCCGAGGGCTGGAAGACGCTGCTCGACCGGGACGGTCCGGCGGCTTTTGCCAAGGCAGTGCGCGCCCACAGCGGCCTGCTGCTGATGGACACCACCTTCCGCGACGCCCACCAGTCGCTGCTGGCGACCCGTGTCCGAACGCACGACCTCCTCCGCATCAGCCCGTACGTGTCGCAGAACATGAACGGCCTCTTTTCGCTGGAGAACTGGGGCGGGGCGACGTTTGACGTGGCGATGCGCTTCCTCCACGAGGACCCCTGGGAGCGACTGGCGCAGATGCGCGAGCAGATTCCCAACATTCCCTTTCAGATGCTGCTGAGGGGGGCGAACGCCGTCGGCTACACCTCCTACCCGGACAATGTCGTCCACCGGTTCTGTGAGCTGGCGAAGCAGGTAGGGAAATTGATTGTCTAGGGAGTTTATATAGTTATCTAACTTGATTTGTTACTTTCTGATTTCAGGCCGGCATGGACGTCTTTCGCGTCTTTGACTCGCTCAACTACCTGCCGAACATTCTGGTGGGAATGGAGGCGGCCGGCCAGGCGGGCGGCGTCGTCGAGGGCGCCATCTCCTACTCGGGCGACGTCTCCGACCCCAGCCGGACGAAGTACAACCTGGACTACTACGTGAAGCTGGCCGATGAGCTGGTGAAGGCGGGGGCGCACATTCTCTGCATCAAGGACATGGCCGGCCTGCTGAAGCCGGTGGCGGCGAAGATGCTGGTCGGCGCCCTCCGCTCGCGCCACCCCGACGTGCCCATTCACATTCACACGCACGACACGGCCGGCGCGGGCATCGCCTCGATGATCGAGTGCGCCAAAGCGGGCGCCGACATTGTCGACGTGGCCGTCGACTCGATGTCGGGCATGACCAGCCAGCCGAGCATGGGCGCGCTGGTCGCCTCGCTGGAGCGCACCCCACTGGCCACCAGCGGCCTGTCGCTGAAGACGGTGAGCGAGTACTCGGCGTACTGGGAGCAGACGCGCACGCTCTACGCGCCCTTTGAGTGCACGACGACGATGAAGAGCGGCAACGCCGACGTCTACCTCAATGAAATTCCCGGCGGGCAGTACACCAACCTGCAGTTTCAGGCGTACTCCCTCGGGCTGGAGTCGCAGTTTGAGGCGATCAAGCTGGCCTATGCGGAGGCGAACAAACTGCTCGGCGATCTGATCAAGGTGACGCCCAGCTCAAAGGTAGTGGGCGACCTGGCGCAGTTTATGGTGCAGAACAAACTGAGCGCCAAGGATGTGGAGGCGAAGGCGGAGGAGTTGAGCTTTCCCAGCTCGGTGGTCGAGTTTATGCAGGGATTTATTGGTGAGTGAGAGAGAAACGGATGGTGGTGGTGGTGTTTATAAACTCAATGTTTTCCATTTTAGGCGAACCTCACGGCGGCTTCCCCGAGCCGCTGCGCAGCAAGATCCTCAAGGGCCTGCAGCCGCTCAGCGGCCGCCCCGGCCAGCACCTGCCGCCGCTGAACTTTGTGCAGCTGAAGGACGAGCTGATTGAGAAGCACGGCCAGCCGGTGAGCGACACCGACGTGATGAGCTCTGCCCTCTACCCGAAGGTCTGCGACGACTACATCAAGTTCCGCCAGGAGTTTGGCCCGGTGACGCTGCTCGACACGCGCTTCTTCCTCACCGGCCCCAAGGTGGGCGAGGAGTTTGAGGTGCAGCTGGAGAAGGGCAAAACGCTGCACATTCGCACGCTGGCCGTCTCGGAGATTCGCAGCAAGACCGGCGAGCGGGAGGTCTTCTTTGAGCTCAACGGTCAGCTCAGAACGGTCATTGTCAAGGACAACACGGTGGCCACGGTGAGTTGAAAAGGATGTGATTTGTGGTTTGTTTAGTTTTCTAATCGTTCTTTCACCTAATCTTCAGGAGGTCAAGTCGAACCCGAAGGCGATCAAGGGCGTGAAGGGCAGCGTCGGTGCACCCATGCCCGGCACGGTGATTGACGTGAAGGTGAAGGAGGGCGACAAGGTGGTGAAGGGCCAGCCGCTGATAGTGCTCAGCGCCATGAAGATGGAGATGGTCGTCCAGTCGCCGGTCAGCGGCACCATCAAGAGCGTCGTCGCGGAGAAGGACATGAAGGTGCAGGGTGACGATCTCATCATGGACATTGAGGTGGACAGTGCGTAGAATGGTGCTGATGTCCACTTTCGATGAACTGTTGATCAAAATGTAGATTGCTATTGTAACCATTGTCTTCCACTCGTCGTCGTCGTCGTACTCTCCCGTCCATTTGCTTTTACCCTACTACTCACTTCGTTTTAGCTTTGTTGATACTATTCCTGTTATTGTCTTATCATTATCTCT